TAAGGCTATTGTATCTTGAGAATGTTCATCATTTTAAAGAAATCATCATCTAAGGTTTTCAATTCAATCAAAATGGAGAGTAAAAAAAATCTACCCACACCTCCTAACTCCAGGAATTTTTTTTTTTTCTTTTTTAGGTTCTTTCATTACCTAGTATTTCCTGAATGAGACGATGAATGAAATAGTTATAAGAAGGTGTGTCTATGTTACTCTTCTGACTTTACTTCTCCCAGATCAATTTCAAATATTTTTTTAAAGATTATTTGAGAGAGACAAAGAGCATGAGCAGGGGGGAGGAGCAGGAGAGGGAAAAGCAGACTCCCCACTGAGCAGGGAGCCCGACAGGGGGCTCGATCCCAGGACCCCGAGATCAGACCTGAGCTGAAGTGAGGCACTCAACTGACTGAGCCACCCAGGTGCCCCTATTTATTAATTTTTTTAAGTAGGCTCCACACCCAACATGGGGCTTGAACTCCCGACCCTGAGATTAAGAGTCGCATACTCCCACCAACTGAGCCAGCCAGGCCCCCTCAATTTCAAATACTATTTTAAAAAAGAAGTTTGGGAAAGATTCTACAGCTTCTTTGTTCATTAGATGTTCTATGTTCTGGGGAAAAGAGGGCAGACATCTAGCACAGTCGGGGAAAAGTGTCTGTGAAGCCAGTGAGACAGGTGGTGAGACATCTGAATCCAGCAGGGGGATTTGTTTTTTATAAGAGCTGTGAGGCAGAATTCACATACTATAAAATTCATCCTTTTAAAATGTACCCAATTCAGTGGTTTTTAGTATATTCAGAGTTGTACAACTATCACAATGTCTAATTTTAGGATATTTTTACCACCCCAAAAAGAAACCCTGCGCCGATTCCTCCCTTCCCCTAGCAACTGCTGGTCAACTGTCTGTCTTTGTGGTTTTGCCTATTCTCAGAGGGGAGGGCGTACACAATACAGTTGCCTTGTGGGGAAAGTAGTATACTAGTAATAATTCCTTGAGTTTGAGCACTTAATAGTTTATAAAATGCATTCACAAAGTCACCTAAGTATCAATAAATATCACAAAATGAGTAAGTATTTCCAAAGTGCCTTCCTGTATTAGTGTCTCAGCTCTAACGAAGCCGGTGAAGCCTTAGAAGGGGACTTGCCTAGACCCAATCCTAGGCTTTGCTGGGGTGCTTTCTCCGCTAGTACCATTAGTTTCTGCACACGAGGGGGCTCACCAGAACAGTGGCCCTGCAAAGAAAAGTCAGGGGACATGGAAGCATAGTCTCTTGGAGGATGGGCACTTTTTGTTTCATAAGCTCATTTCTTGGCCAACTCCCTTCCTCTCTCTCTCACAGAATTAAGAAAGACATGCTTATGAAACAGAAATATAGAACAGAGGATGACCCTAGTACCTGAGACAGATATGGGCCTGAGAATGGAATGGGAAGGTAGAACCAGCCCAAAGGGACAAGGTAGAGTGCTGGATCGAGGGTTTGATGTAACTTCCTCTGGAAGCATGGGAAGAAGATGGGTCCTGCCTCATTGGTAATTCCCGGCCCTAAATCTCTTGGTTACACCTAAATTTGATCTGATTTCAACTGAATGGATGTTCCACAAAGGCTCTTTCTAGTTACAGTTAGTGTTTTATAATTTTATGAGATGATTTTTAGTTAGTAGGAAGGGACTCCCCTACATACTGGTGATGCCCAGCCTATAAAACAGGGTCCTTAAAGAAACAGCCCCATTTCTGGGGCACCTGGGCGGCTCAGTCAGTTAAGTGTCTGACTCTTTTTTTTTTTTTTTTAAAGATTTTATTTATTTTTTTGACAGAGACAGAAATAGCGAGAGCAGGAACACAAGCAGCGGGAGTGGGAGAGGGAGAGCAGGCTTCCCGCCGAGGAGGGAACCCGATGTGGGACTCGATCCCAGGACCCTGGGATCATGACCTGAGCCGAAGGCAGACGCTTAACCATCTGAGCCACCCAGGCGCCCTAAGTGTCTGACTCTTGATTTCAGCTCAGATCATGATCTTAGGGTCGTGAGATTGAGCCCCGCTTGGGGCTCTGTGCTCAGCAGGGAGTCTGCTTGAGATCCTCTCCCTCTGCCCCTTCCCCTGGCTTGTGCACACGCTCATGCGTGTGCTCTCTCTCTCTCAAATAAATCTTAAAAAAAAAAATAGCGCACTTCCATCATCACCCCTATTACCCACTTCCTGCTTACGTGCTTCAGGAACTGGCTGGGAAGTCCACCTTTCTGGGGTTTCGGGGAAGACTTTAGACAGCTGCTTCTTGTAGCAATTGAGGTTTTCCAGGAAAATGTGGTCTGTCTTCGCACCAATCTGGTGTATGATCTGGACTTGATCTGTGAACACATAAAAGAAATAAGGAGTCCCTAGTACCACCCTCCTTCCTCTCTTGCTGGGTTTTCAGTCACCAGGATCACACCCAATTTCCTTCTGCCTTACTCTTCAGCCCCAAAGACTCATGGTTACCATGATGTGGGGGCATCCTTTGAAGGTGACTGTTGCTTGGAAATAGGAGCTAGTAGTCTCATAGAGGCTTAGAAGCCAAGGCGGAACCTACCTTAACTTACAGGCGTTGTCCCCTATGAAAAGCTAAGTCCCAATAAAGGGGTATCTAATTCATTTCTTATCAGTCATAAATAACTTCATCTGAATAATTCCGTTAAAACACTTTAAGAAGACTTTCAGTTGACAGTTTAGGAACAAGATGGGGGCAAGGAAGAATAAACAGCTTGGAACATACAGACCTAGATCATGTATCTTGGAAGCCCAGGCATTGAAAGGATAGCAAGATGGAAGGGGAAGGTAATGGACATTATTGAGCATTGAGCAAGAAGCATTATAGATGCTTTCCTGTCTATTCTTTACTTGAAGTGCTTTTTTTTTTTTTTTAAGATTTTATTTATTTATTAGAGAGAGAGAGAGATAGTGAGAGACAGCACGAGCAAGGAGAGGGAGAAGTAGGGTTCCTGCGAGCAGGGAGCCTGATATGGGGCTCGATCTCAGGACCCTGAGATCATGATCTGAGCCAAAGGCAAACGCTTAACTGACTGAGCCACCCAGGCTTTAAGTGCATTTTTGTTACTGTCGTTTTACAAATAAGGCTCAGAGGGATGATATAATTTGCTAGAGTTAGTAGGGAAGGGCTAAACCAGGATCCTCCAGACTTCAAAGCCTGTGATTTTTTTCTAACATAGCAGCTCAATGGGGGATTATCTCCAAGGGAGAGAAAGGAGAAGAGCAGAGAAGAGGTAGTTGTTCTCCAAGCCAAACCTTGTTTGCTTTACAACCCCACACTCCACAACCTTCTTAGTAAGATAAAGGGATAGAGCAAGGAATGGGGTGACAGATTCCTCCCCACCAGATACCTGCCTGCCCCTTGCCAAGACAACCCTCCTGTGCTAGTCACAAGGGGATGTTGGTCTTCGAGGGCCTCTTATCCACACCCATGACTATTTCATTCCCCAGCTGCCTTCCACCTCCCTGCTCCATGCCCACCTCAGCCTCCAGCACAGCACCCCAGCTCTATTACCAAAGTATATCTCCTGTTCAAAGGTGTTGTCTGTGGAGTAAGCAAACTTTCCAGCTCGACGATTCACCTGCCGGAAGTGGCTCTGCTTTGGGGGCTGGCAGATGTTCTTCTTTCCTTTGATATCCTCAGCAGTCTCATTGTTGCCAGGCATAGCTTCAGCTCTCTGAACTTGTGGCAAGTAATTGGGTAATCTTAGCAGGAGGAGAGGGAGAAAAGGGAAAGATAGGAGATGGACCTCCTGCCTTCCATCAGACCCATAGCTCACTCCTCTTTAAGCTCACCTTACATACACATGAGCATCTGGAAAACACCTATGTTTAACTATTGGCCTTGTCCCAAAGTGCCAAATGAATATTCAGGCCCGCCAGAAGGGCCTGTCTGCAGTCACCTTCCTCCTCCAGTGGAGCCACTCCTGCAGCCACTGGGCAGCATGGTAGAGTGGCCAGGCTCCCAGCAGTACCTTTTTTATCATGGTGCCCTTAGAGGTTACATGGACTTGGGGAAGGAAACCAATTCCTACATTACTTCACTTTATCGTGTGTGTGGCTATTTAAAGACTGTCAACCCCAGTGAACAGATCATAAGCTCCTTAAAGTGTCTCTCATTTACGTTGTATTCCCAGCACTTTGCAGAGTACCTGGCAAGGAGTAGGAAGGCAGTTTATGTTTGTTCAATAAATGAACAAATAGATGGATTCCCACTTTACTTTTAGTTCACTTTTGGGAATCAGATATTGTAATAGCTCTGGTCTTCCCTCGAGCTATAAGTGAGAAGAAGGCAATCTGAGAAATATGCAGTAATCAACCCTCAGGTTGTTTAGTTCTCTGTCTGGTTGCCAGTCAGTTTTTGCATCAGTGACACAGTGGCTCCTTATTCAAAGTGAGACAGAACCAAACCTCAGAGCCTTGAGATCTCTGCCTTTTTTCTCAATATGGATACATTCCTGAGAGCACCTAGACAGCAAAATAGCTCAGTCTGCTAGGAAAGGCCAGGAACCAATCCCTTTAAAGGCAATGGTTCTCAACTAGGAGTGATTGGGGTCCCTTAAGGGGACATGTGTCAATGTCTGGAGACATCTTTGGTTGTCCCAACTGGAGAATGCTTCTGGCATCCAGTGGGGTGCTACTAAACATCCTACAAGGCACAAGACAGCCCCCCACAACAAAGAATTGTCCAACCCAGGATGTCAGTAGTACCTGGTTGAGCACCTTACTTTAAGGAGATCGTACAGAACAAGTTGACAGTGGAGAACACAAGAGGTTGGTGGGACAGCATGTTCTGAAATAAGGAATGTGAACCAACCCCGGAGTCCTGGAAGGGGACCCACGGGTTCTCAAAGGTGTGCCTGAGGCCCCAGCCAACATACCTATAATAAACAGGGAGCAGCAGCTCCGGCTTCTCTCTCTCCTGGGTGGGCAAGATAACGCTTTCATCCTCAAATTCTGCTGTTTCTTCTTTCTCTAGCTGTTTCAGTAGCTCCAGATCGCTAGTGGAAGTAAGCTCATCCCGGATGTGGCTCCAGTCATATTGCTGGCGAAGAAATCTCTGCCACTTGTTGGGGGATACCCCAGGCCTCAGAGGACGTTTGCTCTGGATCCATCGGGCGGTGCGCTTGTTCAGCTTTTCCAGCACGATGGCTTCCCAGGCTCTGGCCTCCTTCTCAGGGGGTGGCAGCCAGGCTTCCCTCTCCTCCAGGTTCATGTCTGGAGAAAGTGACAGACCTGGCATGTCTGGATCCCTGCAGGAATGAGGGATGAGAGGGCAAGATTCTTCCTGGCCCACACTTGCCAGCTTGGATTCCTTTGGCCGCTTCTTAAGATTGGCAGACCTTTCTGTCTTCACAGCCTGGGAGGTGACCCTTGCTGAGGGACCTGAAGAATGCAAGGACTTGAGGCCAGTGGGTTTCTCGCATCGGGCCCTGCTGGTCTGGGGAGGCTGGATGGTGTGGCCTGCCTTGTAGAGATGGTCAAAGTTATACTGGCTGTAAGGGGTGCTGGGAAGCCCTCGCTGCCATACCACCTCCTGAGAGAAGGTGAGGTTTGTAGCGGCCTTTTTCAAATACTGGTTCTTCAGGTGTGCACAGCGATGTGGGCTAAAGTGGAAGACTGGAGGTACACTGGACACCGAGGCACACTCCTCGTGTCCTGGTTTTGAGTGGGAAAAATTCATGCCCCATCCCAGCCGTGGGGGGAGTGACTGATGGAAATGGTGGGAAAGAAGTGTCTTTCCCTGTTGGGTTCTGGTCATTGTTTCCCAGCAAAAGCTTCCTTCCACACTGCCTGGTCCAGATGCAGGGCTGGAGGTATGACCAGATACCTGTTGAGGGGATGGGAGGAACTGCTGAGAGCTCTAGGTCAGTAGAAATCGGTAGCCCATAGCAGTCCAGAAAGGAAATAAATGGGAAGACGGGGGAGCGGGGGGAAGCCACGTGAGTTAAAAGGACAAAAGAGGGGCGCCTGGGTGGCTCAGTCGGTTAAGCGTCTGCCTTCAGCTCAGGTCATGGTCCCAGGGTCCTGGGATCGAGCCCCGCATCGGGCTCCCT